GAGAAATGGGTTGAGGCTTTCTTTGTGATGGAACTCTTAGGACATATTAAGCTCTATTTTGAAGGGAAGAAGCCTCTGAAGCTTTTTTTTTTTTTTTTTCTGTCTGTCTATTTCTTTCAAGAGAGACAGAGGCAGACAAGCACCTTCCACATGGTTTTGCACCAAGATCCATCTTCGGTCTTTCCAGCCAGCCAGGATCACAGGTACCTACATGCCTGGTGAATACAGGTAGACCCAGAATTAGAATCCTGATCTTCTGTATGGCTTTCATAATCAAGGAGCAGCTTGCTACCACTGTGTCATCACAGATGAGCTGTGAGTTGCTGAAGAGTTTTAAGGGGAAGAGCAGTCCATTTATGTCTATGATGTGTTGGTCCCAGTATGGGAGATGTGTGGGTGAGTGTGCCTGTGTATGTACACATGCGTGTGTGCAAGGGTGTGTATAGAGCCCAGAATCAGGAGAACAACTGGGAGACTATGGTATTATCCAAGAGAAATAGTAAAGATCTGAGGTAGAGCAATTTCAAAGAGAGCATAAAGGAAGGGATTTATTTAAGATTATTATTTTTTTAAATGTGGTGTTACTGGATATAGGCCAAGAGAAAGCAGAAAGGGTCAAGGTCAACAGCTGAGTGAGATGGTGGTGGGGTGCACTAGAGATTAAAAAGATTACCAAGGGAAGGGGCCAGCTAGGGACAAATAAAAGGACTGTTAAGTACTGTTGACAGCTCAAATAAATTTAGAAAACATGAATCTTTCAATCAGTCTGCACATGTCATTTTCTCTATAAAGTCTAAATAAATCAGGTCACAACTAAATGAGGAAAAACATCAGAAAAAACCTACTTGATATTAATAATGTTATCAGAGAACTGTCGGCTAGCTCCTCTAGAATGAGGACCATAAAGAAAAAGGACTATAAAAACAGTAGACTGAATTTCCATTTCTGGTAATGGTAATGAGATAATTTGGACAGGAAAAATCAGTGAGATAAAAAATTTGAAATATAAAAACAGCAAAGAGCTAATATGACAGTAAGAACTTAGCATATGGAGATTTAGAAGACTAGAAGTTAGGTAGGCTTCGTTTTAAAATCGTTTGCCCTTGGGCATATGACTTACCAGGAGAAAAGATCTGAGAAACTAGCTTTTACTTTTGAAATAACCGAAGCCCTATGTGCTTTGTGGCAAAGTCAAAGTCCCCGGCCCCCAGGTTTGTACTTCAATTAACTAACTGAACTTTAAGTTAGGATCTTAAAAGGCTACACCTGCCTTCAAGTAGGAGTGACTCAGAAAGAGATCTTTCCTCCTTCATAGTTGAAGCCTTGCTTCTTGTCACAGAGGTGATTCAGGGGACTTTACGGGCGGTACTTTGTCTAAGATGGTTCTGGTCTGGTATCACCCCCAGGTGCCTGGCAGAAGCAAACCAAAATCTTAGGGGCCAGGATGGAGGATAGGACACCATCATCATTTAGCTCTCAACTAACTTTTACAAGTAATTTTCAAATTACATTTCTAGTATACAGTCAAAGATATCCAAGCAAACAAGAAAATGAGATGCCATAAGTGAGAACTGGCAGAATTAATAATAAGAGAATCCAGTAGTGCTGGAGATGGTAAACTTAGCAGACATATAAAATAACTGTAGTGGGCCAGCCAGTGACACAGTGGCTAAAGCAGCTGGATACCACATGGCTGACTGCACAGTTTAAGTCCTTTGACCTGGTGACTTACAAAAACATGCCAGAGGTTTGCGAGTGCTTGCCCAAAATCCCGAGAAGAGAGCAAGAGGGAGGAGAAGGAACTGTGGTGGAACGATGCCCCATAGGGGCGGTAGTGCTTTCTCACTTTCCTTCGCTCTCTCTCTTTCTGTTCTGTCTGATGAGTGCACATACGCTCTGGCAATTAAAAAAAATGTACTTACATGTTCAAAGAAATAAAAGTTAAACTTGACAATTTCATCAGGAAACTAGAAACCTTAAAAGGGACATTCTAGTAGCAGAGAAATATTTGCCTCTTTTCCTCTCAACACTATTTAAAATTACTGCATTTTGGAATTTTACATTATATAGTTATGTTTGCTTTCTTTTGACACGCCAAAAAAAAATCTCTACACTGATAATCATTTAAAAATACTTAAAAATTAATTTTCATGATTAGATCAAGTAGATATTAATTAAGTAAAATGCATGCTTACCTGTGTTTGTGTGGGTATTTGTGTAGAGGAAGCACATGAGTACGTGTTCTCACAAACTTTTTGGAACCACCTATATCTGCTAGATTCATTTCTGTTGTCAACCACTCAGTACACAGGAGACTAACACAGTTATCAGGCATCTAATATTACCAAGGGAAACTTACAAAAATACCATTTGTTCCTGGAGAAATGCAAATCAGCTTCAGTTTTTATAACCTAACTGGTATTAATGATTTTAAACATGATTTAAAAAATGGCCTCTTTGAAGCTTAGGTATTTATCTGAAGTGAAAATATTTCTGATGGACATAGTACATTAGCTTAAAACACTCTATGGAAAGACTCTTTTTTGAGGAGGGGTCTTGGCTGGCAAGAAAAGGAGGCCAACCAACACTGATACTCATGAATGCTCAGGGGGAGAAGGAGGAATGATGGCTGCTGGGCACAGAGAGGAGAGAAGGGGCATCAAAACTGAGTTCTGCTTACCTTGTATTAAGTTTGGCTTTGCACAATTATTCAGTAGTTGTAAAATCAAGTGACTATCAATATAATACCCATTTTGACATTTCACAAGAGTAACACATTATATTATTTATTCTTGTCGAAGATGAATGAAAGATCTACATTAAGTCATTCATCTTTTGGCCCTCGTATACCCAACTTAGTTTGTTAGATTCTGGTCTACTTTGACAGAGCAAAAACTGGTCAGTGACATCTAACAACTGTTTTGCCCCACATCCTGTAATGAGAGCGTCAGCAGATTTATTTTCCCCATATAAAGTAGGATTTCCAATTCACACCATGTACTCTGTGACTATTACGGACGGTATTTATTCAGAAGGAATGCTGTGCAAGTTTGGAAAAACTGTCTCTAAGAGTGGAGGGAGAGGTCATTTGACATAACAAGAAACAAAACCTATACATGGGCAAAACATGAAGAGAACTACAGTGTGTCATTCTTTCTTTTAAAGAAAAAAAGTTTAGAAATCCCCAAAACACAGTGGCAATAGCAAATCAGACAACTCTTCTCCCTCCTTTCTTCTCAAACTCTGTATAATCAGAACGCCTCCATTCACTTAGCAAATATCAGCTTTTTTGGAGGAGGGGAACCTGCTTGGAATTAATGAGGCAACATCAAAACATAACTTCTATTAATAAATTGTTCTTTTCAGTGGAAGCTGCCTGTTTTTCTCAGTTGCTTTTTAAAAAGTAGAATAGCTTCTGAAGGACCCTTAGGCAATTTTAGACCACCTTTAAATCCCCTTTCCTTCCCTTTCTTTTCTTTTACTTATTTTTTTAAAATTATGAAGTGATTTGGTGTCATGCAAGGGAACACAAACTCTATCTCACAATAAAATAATTTCATCCAGTGATGTAAAAGACACAGTAACACTCAGTCTATGTTGTGACATTCAAATACTGATATTGTAGTTCAATAAACTTGGGTTTCTTGAGGAGTTAGAAGAGGAAAAAGCAAGTAAAAGGTAGAAGTGAACCTATAGACCTGCAATGTAAATTTAAAAGCTAAGCAAAATACTCTATTTCTTTCTGCTGCACAAAATGTAAAATACCAAATACTTCATGAAAGGGTAAGCAAGTTACAACACTGAACAATCGTCACCATCACGTTTTCATTTGCACAAACAAAAAGAAAAAAATCAGCGTTAAATATCCCAGACACTATGCACACTAAAACCAATTTTTTTTTCACTTACCCTAGAGTATGCATCCCATGATCTCTTAAATCCTTTTAATTCCAGTACATCCAGAACATAGGTGAACTCTTAGCAAATTCAGTAAAAGAACAAACTTGAGCCAGATTCTTAATTGCAACAGAGATCATAACAGAACTCCCTGAAATTCTAGGGAGAACTCTGAGTTTAAAATCCAGCTTCTAGATCCTGGTGTATACTGTGTCTATCTTTAACTTCAAAATGATTTGGTTTCACATTCCATTGAAGTCCCACTGGCAGATGCCTCTGGTAAGCTCACCAATGGCAGGCTTTCAAACACCCTCCTTCCACCCCCTCCCTCTGACTGAGCTTCCGCTCTTGCATCTAATGCTGATTTACTCAGCTGTCTTTTTACCTGTCTGGCGTGGGTAAAAGGAGATGCTTTCATTGATGGCTATTACGGAAACACTTGGAAGCTGAAGACCAGCCCGAGGACTCACTGTACTAGCTCTACCATCCCCTCCCCCTACTTACTGCCAGAAACCAACTGACTTCCAAACTTGGCTCCCTGAAAAAGAATGTTCTCCAAGTTGCATTCCTGGAAGCAGAAAGCAAGAGAGCTCAAGTTTTGTACTGTTATTCAGCATGAATAACTTCCCAGGTATACATGACACAAACAAGTAAACTTCCTGAATATTTTTTTTCTTAACTATGGAGGAGAATCGAGCAAATATTTTGGAGCATTACAATATTTTTGTTTCAGGACCCCATTTAGGTTTTAATATCCACATACAATTTTACCCAGAACGGCCACGGTAAATTTTTGGTTAAAAGTTGAATAACCCTTAGTAAATATTAATATATTGGTCCCCATTACAAAGAAGAAAATTTCCAGGCTGCCTGGTCAACAGTATTCTGGAGGGCAACTGTCCAATTTTTGTATTTTTGGTGAGAGAAAAATGTGCTTATAGAAATTGTGGGTTTCAGTCGACCTACATATATATTCCAAACGGCGGAAGGAAAGGGTGCAAAAAACATTCTACCTCCTCATTGAACCTTCTCTTTTGGTTTTGTTGAAAACTTTAGTGAGGACTGGGAAAGAAAATGCCTGTGTGTGTGTGTGTGTGTGTTTGTGTGTGTTTGTGTGTGTATGTGTGTGTGTATACACACATATATATATGAAAAAAGAAGTTGAGAATATAGAAACTAGAGATGTATTTCATCAAATAGAGTCTGACAGAGATAAAAAATGTGAGATCCCTTTAAAACACCAGTAACAAAGTTGTATTTAACATTTATTTAGTCATCATTAGGGCCAAATGGTCTTGTACTACTGAAAATAATTTACCTCCTTATGTTCCAAATAGTGAATTTATTACATGCAATTCTATAGAATACACAACTTCTTCAAAAGTCTGATAAAAATATAATTTTGGTTATTAGACACGTCACAACACCCAGCATTCTGGGGTTCCAAATTTTAGCTGGCTATAGCTGCCCACTCCAGGCCACTGTCAGTTGGCTGGGCTTAGGGCAGTGGTGTGACTGCAGCTGCTCCTTGGAACTGATGTAGACATCTAAAAAATATTCAACTGCAAAAGGTTAACCGCAGAGGACAGCTTTCTGTTTGTGTTGGTTTGTTGTTGGCTTCAAGTGCTCTGTTGTATGTTATCCTTTTCCACATCTAGTGCAAGAGCATTTTAGAGTACCATGAGTGAAAAGCTGTTTAATTGACATCATATTATTAATTTCAGCAAGATTTTCTTTTTAAATTTTTTTCATTATAACTCTTAAGAACTTACATTTAATCACCTTAACATCTTTTCAGCATAAACGATAGTTTTACCTAGCACGACTACAGTGCATATCAGTCAAGTCAAAGATACTACCATATATTATACATTATCAACAGGTATCTTTTCATTTTTGTGTCTGTTAAATGCTTCTCTGTCCCCTATCCTCTCCCTCCCAACCCCTACCACCTACTCCTATATTTTCTCTAACATCCACAGTTACCCTTCCTGACATTATACCCTCCAATCTTTCAGTGTTTGCCATAGAATGAAGAAATTCTGTATATATTAAGGGGGGTGACATACACAATGCATGTCTTTCATAGTCTGGCTTGCCTGGCTTAAACATTAAAATTTCCATATTTATTCACTTTGAATCAAATGCAAGGATCTCATTTTTTTTGTTGTTGTTTGTTTGTTTATTTTATGACTGAGTAGTATTCCATAGCATGTAAGTACTACAATTTTTCAATCCATTCATCTATTCTTGGATATTTCTGTTGATTCCATGTCTTAGTAACTGAATAATGCTGCAATAAACATTGATGTGCAAGTGTTTTTATAACAGAGTATATTACTATTCTTTGGGTAGATACCCAGGAATGAAATTATAAGGTCATATGGTAGTTCTCTTTGTAGGTTTTAAGGAACTTCCATATTGTTCTCCATGGTGGTTGTACTAACTTATGTTCCCATCAGCAGTGTAGGAAGGTTCCCTTTTCATTGCAGATTTTCATGTTCCATAAAGAGTGGTGGGCCACCAACTTGCTCACCCTTTAACCTAACTCAGATACAAGATGTCTTTGAAGAAATAAGAGATTAAAAGGAGAACAAGACAAAAGAACTGTACTTATTTTTATTCTCAAAGTTGATTATATTAGTAGAACTGCAGGCTATATGTAATGCTGATGGATAGAGACATTCAAATGCCTTCATAAGTAAGCAGAAAGAAATAACCCTACAGCCCAGAGAGCAAGTATCTCTGTTCTGATATTTCTTTTTCTCTCTGTCAAAAACACTCCTCCCCAAGGCAAATGGATGGTGTCAAACACAAATAAACTAAGAAGAATGGACAGGGTTGGTGGCAAGCCAGTTGGTTCACATTCAGCCCCATTATTCACCTCTCTTGCATCTTTGAGTGTACATTGGCACACAAACGACACTCAAGACAGGCTTGTGAAAATAAGAATTGTTGTAAAAAAGTGTGTATTTTAACCCATGGAAGGAGGTTATTTGTTGGCTCACACTTTAGGTAAATATTTTTGCATTTGTCTTAATGGCTTTGGGAAATTTTTTTCTCTCTCCAAGCAATTTATGAAAAGATTATATGGAATACTATGTACTAAGCACCATTACTAAAGGAAAAAAATGTCATTATACTTTGTGTGAGTGTGTGTGTGTGTGTGTTTGTGTGTGAAATAGACTAAATGCTAACATGGCGATTATGTGCTAAGATCACTTTACCTTGGGGCTGGCAAGTGGCATGGCGGTTAAAGATGCTGGACTCCCACATGGCCAACCACAGTTCAAGTCTTGTACCTGTTGGCTTGCTTCCTCACTTCCTCTCTCTCTGTCTCTCTCTGATCAAACTGAAAAATAATAATGATAATAATAATAAAGTTAATAAAAATAATTCTAAAAAAAGAGTAGGAACTTTTAAAAGTTTAAAAAAAAAATCACTTTACCTGGTTGGCTTGTAAGAAAAATTAAAAAGAAAAAGAAATGTTAGATCCATTAATGTTTCTCATTGACTGGTAAACTAAATCTTGTTTATTGAATTATTACTGGGCACTCTTTAATAGTGTAACATTCATTAATCGGCTAATCCTTTGTTTCTCAATTTTATCTCCACTTAAATTTTCATTGGTGTCAATTACAGAAATTCTAGAGCACTTTACAACAGTATAGGAGCATTAGTCCAGATGCAAGACAGAGGGAACACAGAGGTTTCTTTCTTTTTCTTCCTTTCTCTCTCTTTCTTTCTTTCTTTCTCTTTCTTTTAAATTGAGCTCAGGGTCCTTTATTGGGTTCTGTGCTGGCCAAATGAATATGTCCACCAGTCATTCACTTAACCAACCTAACCGTGGTTTGGGGTTGTCTATTCATAGATCAGGTTTAAAAACAAACAACAAAAAGGAGGGGGGCTATCACAATGGCCAGGAGCCAACTTTTTTGATTCCTTCAGTCAATTGCATTCTGTCCTCCTTTACTCATTACTTTTATTTATTTACTTTTTAATATTTATCTCCTATTTATTCTGTGCCAAGTCCTATGAAAACTTTTTTCCTCTCAATTTTTTTTAAAAATATTTTTGAGGGTTGTCATTTTTAAAAATTATTTTTAAAAATTATTATTCATACATCAAATTGCTATACATCATTTAGATTGTGAAGAGACTTTACCCAGAGTGTGGGAGGAGAAGAGCATAGAAAAGGAAATTTTCTTTTATTTTTTGATCCTAACCTTCACAAAGTGATTGATAAGATTTATAATGGTTAGAACTCCATTTTTATCACAAGTAACTATTTATTCACTTCCAATAAGCACTAACATGAGAGTTCGGATTTATTAGAAAAATGGTTTTCAGGGCTTACTTCCAAAAAAAAACTGGGCATGTAAGAGGCAAATCGGATATCCTTGATTTATCATGAACAAGCAGCTAATCTGTATTCCATTCTCCAGAAATAGACTGTCATAGCACAGTTCTGTGGATGGTGAATGTTAGTAAGTGGCTCCTTATAGGAGTGAACAAGGTATTTGAACTCAGGTTTAGCTACCTGTGAGACATCTGTGTATAAGAAGAACCCTGTCACTTAAAGTGAATGTTCCCTGCCATTTTTTTCCTCCTCCTTGTTGTCCTTAAAAGGCTAGAACTAATGATATTCTCAGGATGGTGGTTTTATAGCTGCTTTCTATGTCTTTTGTATAGAATTTTTTGCAGTGTTTTAATTTGCATTTAATCACTATGTATCCTTACAGTGTACAACACTGCTTTTTCCAGCATGAATACAGTGCATATCAGTCAATGTATATGATAATGTCTTTTTCTTAACTGATAATATTTATTTAATTATTAAAAATTTTTTTTGAGAGGTTTTTGCTGTAATGTCTTTGTCTTAACTTATAATATTTATTTAATTATTAAAAAATTTTTTTGAGAGGTTTTTGCTACAGGGCACATATGCTCGCCAGAGAGACAGAGAGAGACAGAAAGTGAGAAATCACCCCCCAGGGGAGATGGTCATGCTGCAATCCCTTCTCCTCCATTCTTCCCTCAGGATTTTGGGCATGCATGCACACATGACTGGCATGAGTTTTAAGCCACTGGGTCTGAGACTGGAACTGCAGTCAACTACTTGGGAGTCCAGCAATGTAACCATTATGCTATCTGCTGACCCCTGATATGATTTATTTTTAAAAGCATGTATGTTTATTTAAAAATGAGGTTTCTTTTTGAGATGAAGGGCATCATGATTTTATTAAAAGGAAAAACATTAATCCAAGCAGTAGTTGTTTGAAGAAAAATTAAAATACTGTCCAAGAAAAAGTAGGAAAACTATAGATAAACAACATTAGAAAAGAGAGGTTTTGACAACAGATCTGAAGGGACTCAAAAGAGCAGCATACTGGGATCTGATGATGCACAACGGTAATGCAACT